CCCAGGATACTAGGTTCCAGGTAAACCATACCACAACGGCTGACTGTGGCCGGGGAGGCTACAGCAAGATCCATCACCTCAAACATCATCGTCATTGCCTGTTGATCAGTTAGAATACAGTGGGTTTACCAAGCTTGACATCTCTGGCTTAAATGCCACTCTGGACAATTTTGAGTCTCCCTCAGTTGTCCTGTGTCGTATGTATCTTTGAAAGCATTCACAAAAATCTTAACAGCAAAAAAAGTCTTAGAAAAAGAGAAAAAACCTAGAAGTGACAACGCTAGTAATTTCCAACGTCTGTTAAAAGAGTATAGCAGCGGTAACACGAAGGTCATGGGTTCGAATCCGGTTGAGGCCTTCGTTTCAGAATTGCTTGGGTTGTGTTCATAACTGTGTTGATGATTTTTTTCTTAATTTCACATCGGCGATTAGTATATCATGTATTTCCTTTTCTCAACTAGGTCATCAGCTGTTGCCTTGTTGCTACTACCGTAGAGCCAAAGCAGAACTAAGCAAAATATAAAATGGGAGACCCTACTGGCGGGTTATCGAGAATTTCGTTCATTCCATGACTGGAAACGCGGTAAAAAACCTTTGTAAGGTTCGAGTAAATCTTATAAGGGTCGAGTTAGAAGTAAAATGTGAAGTCAGGTTTAACTGTATTTTACCTCACTGAGTTTGATGATTTCTCCGCTTGTAAGACAAAGCTTCTTATTGTCGTCCAAAACAGTGTTCATGTTTTCAATCCACACGGCGTCAACTGGTCCGTCAAACACGTACCATTTCTTGTCACTTGTGGTACTGGAGCTTCCCACGCGGATCATGGACGATAAGATGCCGTCAGTCCTTAAAACAGAAAACATAAAAGTCAACCGGCCTGCAAACCCAAAACAATGACACTGCGCAGAAATGCACCTTATTTCCTCCACTCGCTGTTGCAAGAAACATGGTCGAGTCGTGTTGCAGATCGCTGGAATTGGTTGAAGGGGAAAATGCGATGAGCGTCTCATCACAACGTCACGATATCAGAGGAGCACAGAACTTCTTTCCTCTTACTCAATATTTAGGTTACAATCGACCTGTTTCTCGCTTGGCGCCAACTTCATTTGCCCGGGTAAAAGCTTTGGCCGCATTCTCGATGTTTTCGATTAGATATAAATATTTATCACGGAATTCTCGTTACTCACCATTCATGTGTTAGCAAGTCAAACTCTCCATACAACTGTCCCATTGTAATGGATTTGGGATTCAAAACAAACGTGTGTACCTCCTCATACGGGGAGCCTGATGGAGAATCTTTGCCCTTCAGTGCAGTCAGAGCTTTCTTTAGAACCTCGTAACACTGAAAACAAAACGTAAGAGAGGTATAGGTAGGAATCATCAACTGCAACTGACTGGATAAAATTATGCGGGAGTCACGCCATACACAGGAGGTACGTCAATTTCTACAAAGCATAAGTTTGCCTTGGGCCGGTAAAACGTGCAACATGTACAGATTTTGTTGTAAAAAGTAGAACTACCCCTTAATTTCTGTAACAACTTTTCCTGACCTGCAACAAACTAATTTAATTTGTTGTAAGGCAGGTTTAATTCGTGGGTGGTAAAACGCACATCACTATTCAACTCGTTTTGCATTTTTGCTGCCCGTTTTACCGTAGCCTACGTGTAGCCGCACCCCCCCCCCCGACGTTTTTCCTTTGCCGGGGGAAGGGTGCGGCTACAGGTGGTCTTGTTTTACTGTACCTTTATACAGGAGGAAGACACTCACCCTTGTTTTTCCTGATCCAGTAGGACCCACTAACATAAGTCCGTGCCTGACTACAGTTGTCTCGTACAACTGGATACACTTAGTAACAAATCCATCTACATCCTCCAGTCCAAGTTTCAGACAAGTCTTACGAATGGAGTCTTCCAGATCACCATAGTCAATAGGTTGCTCTCTGTAAGAAATGTCAGCACAGCACCGTCAGGGAATTTTTCGCTTAAAATACTTAACCTCTTTCAAACTACCTTAGTGTTATTTGTTCCTGTTTCTTTAAATATGGCTTTCAAGCTCAAATATAAAAATAAAAATCTCAACGATCTCAGCGAAACGCTGAATAAGACCACGGCATGTAGTGACTGTTTATGTGATTCTATGGCGCTCTAAGTTACCCTAAGCTGAAAGTCTATGCCCGATAGCATTTGCATTAAACTTTGTCCTAAAACGAACATTACTGAAATAGTGAAAAGTTGGAACCCAGGAGTCATTTCATGAGTAGGTTGAGTATGATCGTCCGGGTTAACATAGTCTTGAATGTGACACTGACTGATGTTTCGACAACGTGTGCGGTAGTCATCTTCAGAGTCAAAGTGAGTTGTATCACATTCGTTGATGGTACTAAACTCTGGTTATTGATCTGATTGGTCAATTAAGTCGCGATGTTATTGGTCGTCTGTCAGTAAAGCCGTGATGTTATTGGCTATAAAGACTCGTAATGTCAGAGTTTAATGCCATCAACTGGCGTGATACAACTCACTAACCTGCTCACTTTGACTCTGAAGATGACCGCACAGGTTGTCGAAACGTCAGTCACGGTCAACAACAACAGTCTTCTTGAGGACTACGTTCACCCGGACGATCATACTCAAAGTTCTTATCACTGAAATACTCCGTAAACTCGCCACTGTTTCCTTTCCATTCCCTGTTTCTTTTACGACTAACCGGTATCTCGTCCACTTATTTGTAACCCTACCTCTCCACCCCAGAAAGATAGGAAGGGAACCAGAGGTATACAAATAGTGAACTATTAGAGGGGTAGGGAAAATAGCTCAAGTGTCGTATCACGGTGTTTTTCTAGCAGTTTTCATGGGAAAGCCGATTCGATTCGCTATTCCACATACCCCCCCTTTTACCCCATTTGATACTATACAACTCCACTAATACCCGTTAGGAAGTAAAACCCCATTAAGTTTACAGCAAGAATATGGAATATGGGAACTAACTTGACGTGTGGGAAAAGATCTGAAACAATTCCACGGAACAGCTTCAAGTCATCCTGTAAGAACTTCGGTACGTTCACATCTCGAATGGCGCGCAGTACAATCAGTTCCTAGGGCGCAAAGAAACACAGCACATTGACGCAAAGCAGCCTGGCTAAATAGAAAGGTTATTTTTAATCAACGCTTAATTAATTGCCTTTAATTGCCAGTTACTACCCTCTATAACGGTTACAAAAAAACAACAAGAGACGCATGTAAACATTGTCATTATCGTGGTAACATTTTATCAGAACCTCAAAAGTGCGAGACACGTTTGTTCTTTGGTCTTTCAAAGAAATGTCTAAGCCAGCCCTGTGTGCAATGTAAAAGCCTGGAAAAAGTGCCGTATCAGTTGGGTTACAGTTTCGCTTGGTTAAATTCGTTTCTTGTGATTACCCAGTTGCGATTAAAATTGCTAATATAAGATAAGGAAAAGATTAATAGTACACCAATTACCTCACTCATCTCTGGATTTTCTCTCTTAAGATTTCCTGCAGCTGAAATGACAGTCTTCACAGCGCGCATACCGAAGTCATAGTGATCCTGAAATTAAACAACGTGCATTATTATGCCAAAGAGAAGGAAATCAGTGGAAACAAAAAGGAACTTCATATTGTAGGATACCGTATTCTAGTATATTAATCAGTCTAGGCTGGAACCTTACAATCCCTTAGTGTAAAGAATATTTTCTCAATATCAAAATGATATAATGACTCGAGCAAGGGACAATAAAACCTTTAAGTCCCGGACGGCATTTTTACAGAAAGACTCATGGTAAGCCTTATTTGTGACCGCATGCTGTCAGGATCAGCAATTTTCAGGACAGAGCGTCCTGTGTGGGGCTGGTTAATGATGGTTAGTGTACTCTCTTTCACTATCAGAAAATTTTATTTCTGTATTTGTCTAAGCACCCCCTATAGCAGGAGAACCATATTCACAAAAGCAACAACAAATCTCTGTTTACAAACCTGTGAACTAAGCTGCTCCGAGGAGAGTTTGAAAGTGGTGGTGATTTTTTTGGCCAAAGCTTTTGCTTCAGAAAAACCAAACGAAAACAGACTGATTTCAGCAATCAGTGCGTAGTCAGGAACCATCATGGCAACAGGACGAAACAAGGCCTGAGGGAAAAACGTTAAACGTTTTATAAATAACTGGCGTAAAACTGAAATAATGAAGAATTGCGAAACATTTGTTCTAGTGTAAACTAGCTCTGGGGAGCAAAGGGTGGCACAGTGGTGGTAGCACTCACATCCCACCAGTGTGGCCCGAGTTCAAATCCCGGCGTGGATGCCATACGTGGGTTGAGGTTGTCGTTGGTTCTGTTTCTTGTTTAGTGGATGTGCTACTTCTAAATCGTTAATAATTTATTTATTTCTATTTATAATCATCCCCACCTTTAGGTTGTCTGGAAGTTCTGTTCTTCCTGCGTATCCAGGATTCATTGTGATGAACACAGCACATGACGGTCTCAGTGCAAGTTCAACTCCTTCAAACATGAAACGTTCAGCCTGCAAGAAAAGTCGATAAACAACTTTCTTTATTGTGTGTGCTCTGTTATAGAAAGAAAGGTCTTGAAGAAGTTTGTTCACAGGGCTAGACTAATTGGTCAAAAGGACCGTTCCCATTCGATAAAAATATTTTTAATCAAAGGCCTTCAACAAGATCTCCCACGAAACACTAATTCTGAAGCGAAATAACTGAATAACTACCCTCAAATTCTTTTTTTGGAAAGAATTGCCCACGAATTACTACAACACTTGCAAAGTCATACCTACCCTAGCTTCCAACGCTTGCTGGATAGTAGATATCTGTTGAGCCACCACGGATAACACTTCCACGTCTATACGATTAAACTCGTCAAAACAGGCCCAAGCACCAGCACTAAACGGTACAGAAACATCATGTTCAGTTAAAAGTCAGTAAACACTATAACAACTGATTAAGTAATCTTTATTGATAAAGTCGGTTTGGTTGCCAAGCCACAAGTACCTGTTGCTTGATAAAAAAAAAATGGTTAACGTAAACGAATACGAATAATAGTGAAGACGCCGAAGCCTCGGTTGTTCAAACTTTGGATAGAGCTATCCACCGGAGAAATCCCTATTCAGCGGCTAAGTACCGGAAAAACCATTGCGTTATCCACCTTTCGAACAACTGGGCCCAGGTCTTTGCGTACAGCAAAATCTGCTTCGGCAGCTTTCGCATGACGACAACGACGACGACGATGAAGTCGTCAATAAAGCAACAATTATAGGGATCTTTCAATATGACTACAAGAGTACCAGAACGATTTTGTCGAGCCAGTTATGTTGTAAAAGAAACCTGTCCCTCTCTTTCCTGTTGCAGACTGGCATAAAAAAAAGACTGACGGGAAGAACTGGTATAACAAGTGATGAACTATGGCCGGAAAACGAACTTAATTTAAAAACTCAGTTCGAACCAAGTGCATTATTTTCTACTAAGTCCTACCTGGCCAAACCCTTGAAAAACTTTCCCATAGCCATGAAATCCAGCTGATCAGAGCAGTTAAACACCACACACTGAACGGCCATTGCTTTTCCCAAATCCTGCAAAAAAAATAAACATAAAACAGCATTAAAAATGACAAGCGGTGGAAAACAATAGCCAGGGTCAAACGTGGAACTTCACATGCGACGGACCTTAACGCTGATGAGAGATATGTGGCGTTATTGAAAAGGCGTGAGGTCAAGTTGACTGGATATTGGCCAAGTTGTTTTCTCGTTTTTTTTTGACCGAGGCGAAGTCGAAGTCAATAAAAATGCAAAAAAGAATGAGGCCAATATACAGCCATTTTGACCGCACAAGCTTGGTCAATAAGGGATTTTTTATACAGCCAAAAAGAGATCTTTTTCTTGTGGGACCAACGCCAGAAATACCGAGCGGGCAAGAAGAGCCCATCATCTTGCCCACTCGGGTAGCCAATCAGAACGCAGGATTCCCTTCATCTTGTCCACTCGCGGATTCAGCCATATAAAAAAGAACAATAGAATTTGCTCATTGGCTTTAGGTTCGCGTTTGACCCGGGCCAAACCAGACAAACCATGACAGAAATAAACAAACCAACAAAAAAATCTCTTTTTTTTATTTTTTGACCTGGCCAGTTAATTATCCACAGTCCTCGTGAGCCGTTGTATTTAATACATTATAGCAAACTGCCCATATTTTAGAATTCAATTGTTGGCAACTTTCAGCGTTAGAAAAAATTGTTCAACTAACCTTTGTGGTTTCTGTCTTGCCTGTGCCCGCGGGCCCAGCAGGTGCACCTCCGAATTTCAGATGAAGCGCTCCAGTGAGAGTAAGATAACAGCGGTCTGTCAGGGGGGTGATGACGAGCCGACCTGTGTTTCCAAGGTACTCATATCCGTAGTCAAACTGCGCATTTACTGCTCGAATAATCATATCATCTTCCCAGTAGTACCTGAATGGATTTTAAGTGACATGAAGGTAAAAAAAACACAAAAGGGAAACCACAACTACACATAGATTTCATCACCAGAATGCTGCACCCCTAAGCTGCACTGTTTTCAAAAACGGCTGATTGTTAAAATTGTTGAAGAAACCTGTAAGTCCAGTGTCCTTGTCACTATCTAATATAGTAACTTCCATTATCAGTGTCTCCAGCAATTTTACATTGTGGCTTTCAAGTAGTTTGAGATGACTTACTTCAGCCCTCTGATCTAGTCAGACCGTAGCGAGCCACGGGTTAAGCCAAGAAAGCAATACCTTTGGCAGTCGTTTAGAGTTTTTCAAGTGTCATTCCTCCCAAACCGGTCAACCCTGCATTCGTGCGTCATCCGATGCAGAATAAGGACCTATCTAACAAACCGCAAACTGCTTCTAATATAACAGATAACACACACTATTACCTTAACTGGCTAATCCATTCAAAATCATTCACATTTTTTACGTTTTCAGATATCATCTTTGCCACCACATCACAAGCATGAACCTACGGAGCAAAGTACGATTAAACCGGGTGAACACATAGAACCTCACGCAATGTTCTGCAAATAAATGTAAACTTCAACACTTCGAGTTCCCGGCGGGACCCGAACCCATGGCCTCCCGGAACATTGGTTGGGCGCTCTTACTTCTGAGCTTCCGAAAACATTTATGGTGTGACAAGTGATTAATCAAAAAACGTATTTCGCGATAAGCGGGAGAAATAGTGAAAACAGTGTGTCACGTATATTTGACCAACGCAAAGGCTACAAGAATGGCTCCTCTTTCTTTCCTTGGTTATCCTCCAGAATACTGCCTGCGGTTGGATAAATTTTGGTGAACGTTGGGTGTAAGCAGGGTGAAATTGGAGTACAGTCAAGTTGGCGTGACGTTAAATGGCCAATGCCTGTTGAGCAACATTGGGCCAAAACATGTTAAATTTAAATACCTCAATGACAATAAGTGCTCCAAGAATCATCCTGGCAAGTTTAGTCAGGTTTCCTCTCACCAACGTAACGAGATCGTTGAGCTAATAAAGAAAGAAACAAATCATTACAAAAATCGACTAAAGGCTGATGTTCACTAGCGACGGATTCGGAGTTGTAATCAGAAGGGTGATTCTTCTGATTCCGCTTACAACTCCGTCGTTTACGATCAAGTGAAAACTAGTTCGTCAGAAGAACTAAACCAATCACAAAGCGTGGGAACGTGACTTGTGATTGGTTTATCGTTCTGTTTCTGCTTCCGACTCCGACAAACTGGTTTTACTAGATCATAAGCGGAACGTAAGCGACGCAGCCGTATGCGAAGTCGGAAGAAAATGGAAACGTTCTGATTCCTCTGACTCTGATTCCGTCACGCTATGACTCCGCTTACGACTACGATTTTTTATTTTCACCGGGTCATAAGTGCGGCTTTTACGACTCCGCTTACGACTCCGACTAGTGAAAACCAGCCTGACGTAAAACCGCACAACGTGACCAACCTCTTGACCTGTCACTGCTACAGCTTTTCACGCCGGACGAAATCGTGTGGTGTGACCACTCAGATAAAAATTTCCGATAGCTGAGATTTTTTACAGGAAGAAAGAAGGGGAATCCAGAGAAAAAGATCATGTGCACCAGTTGTCTTAACACCTTGCACCCCCCCCCCCCCCCCCCCTGTTTGTTGGGGGGGGGGGGGGCGTTTTGGTTCTCCAAAAAACGTGTTGGACCCGGCCGCCCGCGGGGCCTTATACACATTAAATATTTTTTTTTCCCCCTCCCCCCGTACACCCCTCCCCACACTGTTATGTTACCCCNGATTCGCAGCAGCTGGAACGAGTAACCATTCTCAGCGTCCTATTCCAAGGAATAAAGACCTTTAGATTCCGAGACGAGGACGAGTACGAGAACGAGATTTTCTCAATACTGAGTATTGCTCACGCGTGAACCAGCGTCATTTTAGCGGGAAAACCTGATAGCCGTCGTCATGCTGCAACGGGTTTTAGCCAGAATGTCGTGGTGGCGGGAGCAAGTTATCAAATGTAAGTAGTTTTATCATTTTGCTATCGGGAGAGGGCTTAACCTCCTTCATTTTAAATAACCGTACAAACTTTTTTGGTGAAATAAAGTAAAATGAAGCTTTTCGGGGTGTCTTCTTTTTAAGACATGCGCAAAAACTTCAAGTTAAATCTCGTACTTGTACTCGTTCTCGTCCTCACATCTAAAGCTCTCTAATGCCTTTTAGCTGCAGCCGAGGAACACTAAATTTCAGCGTCGGGAAAACATGTTATTCTCGTCATATCTATCCTGAAAACACAACCATCTTTCCTCGCTCCTGGGCGGCGAGGAGCGAGGAAAGACTGCTGTATTAGCAGGCAGCGTCATTTCAGTGGCATAGGACAAAGAAAAAAAATCTGAGTCCAGACAGGGTTAGAGGCTATGACATTCCACGAATACGGACAAACTCAAAATAGGTAGGGTCATTTACTGCAGCTTCGTATGGGACACGCGTCCAGCATAATACTTGGATCGGCAACGTCGAATAAGAGCTTTCTTCAATTAATGTCTAATTTTAGACTGACAAATCACAGCCAGATTCCGGAAGAAAAATTAAGGCAGGTCATCAATGCTAACGGAATGCGCCCTTGCGAGAAAGTTTTGCTCCAGCCTCTAATTGACTGAGAAAAGAGGCGAGAGAAATAGGCCATTTCCGGGTTGTCTCAAGCCTCTTTTTCAAAGATTGGCCAAGTGTAGCCTGTGTAGCAGGCGCTTGGAAGTAATGGCGCGGCCCCTCGCGTGTCTCCTTCGTGCGCCTCGTTCTTTTTTGCGCCCATTACTTTCAAGCGCCTGCTACGCAGGCTAGGCCGAGTGAGAGGCCACTGATATGAAAATGAGTAATAAAAATAATTTCCCCAACAAAGGTTTCGCACTTAGCCTCGTTTGAAAGTCTGAGTTTTTGGAACTCGGAAAAGGGTTATTTTGAGCTAAGCTTTTTTAAAGCGAAAGGAAAACAAAAATCAAAAACACTCCAGTAAAACACCCCAGCACTAAAATGAAATTTTACCTCAGCATACTCTAACAACGCTCTGCGTAAAATCTCTCGTAAACTTCCTCTCATGGTGTTCTCTACTTCCAGCAGCCAGTCCTCAACATTGCCGGTGGGATAGAGGCTGTTGCTAAATGGAACACATTCTCCCTCGCCAGAAAACATAGAAGATATACGTAAGTCTTCCTCAAATGATAGCTGTAAAACACAACCATCAACCTCCGTTAACAATTGCCATAAACAAACTAGAAGATGCTTAAGTGTAGCTAACTGAAGTGAAAGCCATTACGCCACTTTACTTGTTAAAATAAATAAAATCTTTAAGTGTTCCCATTTAAAAGGAAGTACGTTTGCAGTTCTTTCTGATGGCGATGTTTTCTTTTAAGGACAGTAGCAAGAAATCTGGATGGCTCTTACGTTTTCATGGAAGCCATCTTCGGCACTGTTAGAGTTACATTACGTACATACCCTGGCGATATTTTCAAAGCACTTGCGCAAATGAGGTTGAACAGCAGTAGGATCTTTGGTTTGAGACAAAATCTCCAACAGTTCATCATCTGACAGAAAGTAGAATCGTGGAAAGGCTGTTCGTTTCGTCTCCAGGTATTCACTAAGTCCCTTTTGTACCTGTTGAAAGGCAATCGCAGCACAAAGTTATCACACATTACAGTAAACAGCTACTTCCCGTGGAAAAAGGATAGCGAACTTTCGGATATTTATGTGAGTGCTAACGTTAATGTAGACATTTTCTTACCTGTTCTAAAAGTTTGTTACATTCACGGAGGCTTTCAAGAAGTCTAGCATCTGGGCACAAAGAGATCACCTAAAAATTCAACCAGAATGATCATGCTTACGCTTAGTCATGACGTCGAGTTGATTTATTTTGTGCTTCGTTGTAACTCTATTTGGCCAGTTAAGACAACGCCACCGAGTATGGCATACACTTAACAGATTAGTCTGGATTACATTCTCAAATTTCGCGTCACGTGGTAGGTCAATCCAGCCATCCATCTATCAAAACTTAACGTTAGTTGGAAGAGCACGAGACTGCTGAGAAGTAGGTCGTGCGTTTGATTCTTGGGCCGTTCGAACAGTTATGACCTTCATATCACTGACAAAGAAGATACTGCCTTTGGATGTAAACGGCTAGGCTTTCTCATGGCTGTTTTGACAAAATGAAATGGCGGTCCCTTCTCCATTCTCTCTCCCATTCTCCCTTCTCCAACCCTTTCCCCCGCCCCCACCCCCAAAACAAAAAAATTCACTTGCCCACCGGGCAAGTTAAGAACAGAATTCACTAACTCGACTGCAAAATCCACCAGCCCCAGGCTATCAAACCGCATGAATTTCTTTGCACGCTGAGATCTAGACAAAGCTTACCTGTACGGAAGGGTTCAAAACTTAGCTCTAAAAAAAAAGAACGCTGCAAAGTACCAATTTGCACTGCACTTTCTAAGTGAATTGAACAGATAAGCAAGGTTTTCGGATTAGACAGTGGCCTCCTTTTTACCTGCGGGTTTCCCTTGGCGTTATTCATCACTTTTCTCCATATCCTTTCCATGGTCTGATACCTCTTGCTTTCCACCGGTAGCTGGCGGTTTATATCCTCCGAGCTAAAGATAGGCTCCAAATACAGCCACTGCCTCTGACACTGCAACCATTCGTCCATGACATCCTGAGTCATCACAAGCTTGCTCTCCCAAGTAGTGATACGCTCCTCAAATGGCTTCTTATACGGTGAAAATGACATGCTCTGTGCCATCACGATGTGATCGTCCAATAGCTGCGAGCAGTCATCGCTGACTTTCATTATGAACGTGCCTGTTTCCTTATATGGCATGACCTCGAGCATGACTGGCTTCCATTCGCTCTCCATCTTGTCAAGCGCCTAATTGCAAATATTACAACAATTAGTCAATAATTTCACTGCTAGAATCAAATATGGTAGGCAGAAAAGGTAGATCTCACGTTTGTGTTTAAATCCTAGTGAGAAACAACTTCTTGGGAAGTTTATTAATATAATAACACAACTTTTAATTCACAAAACTTTTAAGGTTGAAGAAGAAATCCGTATGAGTTTTTGGTCCAAGATGAAAATGATAACAATTTAAATGTCTTAGGACAACGTTCTAGAGCAACAGAACTGTGTGCATGTATTTGAAGTTTGCAATTTACATGTACCTGTTCAATAGAGTATTCCTTGCCCGCAATCTCAGCGACTTTAGCAATAACCTCGATGTGATCTTGAAGCTTCATCTCCAGGCACTTTGTAAACGTCAGCTGCGCGTTTGCCACAATAGGAAAACCAAGCTCCTTGGACAACTGGAGAGAAAAACGCACAAGTATTTTAAGTTTCTAAAGAAGCAAACTGTAAATGGCGCAATTTGGTCACCGATAAGTCCAAAACAACCATTATCGCTGAAACGGCTGAAGCCACTTTTCTTATTTTTTGGACTTCATAATAACAAACAATAAACTCTGGCAATGACAGATGATGTACTTCAGTTCTTATAAATGATATTCGGTAAAGGCAAAAACATTTTTTTCAGATGCCGGTTTTTTTTCTTTGACCAGAGGGATCAACGAGTGCGACATTGCTGCACTTCCGAATAAATTTAGCGATGGGCATCATAAAGTATTTAAAAACTTTGGACAGGAGTTTGACAGGGGCTTCAAGCAATTTCCTTGAGGTTCACAACTATTTTTTGCCTTTTTGACCTTAATCAACCGAAAACTTACCCTAGATCCCAGAGACTTTTCATAGGCGGTTTCTGGTTTCGGGTAAGTCTCGTGGCTTGGGTATTTGGCCGAAGATCTATCGGCCTGTGGCGCGAGAAAAAAAAACCTTTGATACTCAGGGTAACGGAAGAAAACTAAGAAACTGCCGGAAATGATACCTGTTCCCAATGCCTGCTTCTCATGCCAGGATTTCTCAAGCCCTGGATAAGTGGAATGTAAGGTTTGAAGTTCTCAATCTTCAGTTTCACTTCCATCGCCACCTCCTGGCAAGCAGGGATCTCCTTGAAATGCTTAACACACTTGAAAATAGTCTTGAAGGCGTTGTTAACATTCTGTTCCAGTTGTTCTGCGTCTATGGTGGTGAGGGGATCGTTCATCCAACTGTCATACCACTTCAGCCAATCAGATGCTGTCAGCCACATGTTCTTAAACGGCTCAAAGTCCTTGACCAACCGGCCCAGCTTGTCATACTGTTTTCAACAGATCAAAATTAATGTAGAAGTCAGTGGATGAACGCTACGACCCGAGACAATATAGCCTTTTTTAAAACAAAAAATCTCAATTAATTCTTTCTTAATTCTTATTCTTTAGTAATTTTATTCTATTGTATTATTTATCGCACTGTATTTTAGAATTTTTCCACTTCCAAATCGCTTCGCCCATTGACGACTACAGTTCAGGCGGTCTAGCTTGAATTTTTTCAACATTTTTAGCCAGAGAACGTTTTTAACATTATAAAAAGAACTCTAGAACTTCTCATATGTTTTCATTTATTGCCAAATCATCACAATCTTAAGGTACACACGTCGGACGTTTTGTTTCATGATAAAAATGACCTTGATTTCAAGTAATACCAAACTGGAACCTTTACCCCTTACTGAATAACTTCAGGAATAAACCCTCCAAATGAATTGCTTTTTACTGTCTTTGTTATTAAGACACAAATAGCAGTACAAGTATACAATCGAATTGAACAACTTACAGACGTGACAGGGAGGCCAAACAGCCTCTCTCTGTTATTGTAGGTATTAGCGAGTGCCTGGCATTCCTTGAGCTGTTTCGTTAGACGCCGCACTTCATTCGCCACTTCGTGTGCCTTACTGATGTCAGTATGAGCAGCAAATCCTGCCACAGCCATGTTGAGCGAGTCGAGCCGGTCTTGAAAAGTGTTCTGGTCAGCTAACAAGTTCTTCTGGAATCTTTCTTCATCTGCATCAAGGCTGGCTTCTGTTGCTTCCATTTGTAGCTGGATTTTATATGGCCATCCAATACAGGTCCACCTGATACATGTAAATATGGAAAGTACAAGAGTGTCAGACGGCCAGTTTGACGGTTTGCGTGCGTGAAGATTTATGAAGACTTATTTTGCAGTCAATTGATAGACTAATAAGTTACCTTTACTTATAAACTACTCGATCTGGGAGTCAGATCAACTCACTTTGCATTGAAGTCCTCAGCAGATATATTGTAGTTAAACTCTTCAATGAGCTCATAATCGACCATAGCTTTGTCAATCAGTTCCTGGTTTTTCTTCAGTTGTTCTGGAATCTGCTTCATGTATTCTCTTTGTTCTGCCAGCTCTTCTATGCTGTTTGGTTTATCATACAACTGCCGTGCGATCGCCTTAAACTCCTCACAAACCTAGTACAAAATTAAAATACTTTAGTATATCCGTTTCTTTTCTTCTTTTTGATCAAAGGAAGCGCATTTCTGGTACAAATTCAAAACAGCGAAGAAAATTTAAAATATAAAACTCTCATCCTCCAGTTTTTCCTAACAAAAGGTACAATGCACTCGATGTCGTACGTAGGAGACTAACATCGATGATGTTGGTCCGCTTAATCACAAATATTTGCTCACCAGTAGTGGGCACTTTCAGAAAATTCTGTTGTGATTTAAATATCTTTAATCTACATCCTGTGAAGTGTAATCCTCCAAATAACGGTTTGTGAAAAAAATTAAGCCATCCAAAATCAAAACACTATTGAATAAAACAAAAAGCAACATCACACACCATATCAGCCTGCTTGCGGAGTTTTTTGGCCAACAGCTCAATAACAGCATTAGCCAACGCTTTTCGTTTCTTTGCCAATGCCTGCCTAACTCCCTCAGTTGATATCCAGTATGGACCAATCACAATGCTTGATGGCAAGGAGTTCTCTAGTGTCTCCTTATCTTTTAAATGCCGTTCAATCTCCTGTTTCACTTCTGAGGCGGAACGCTCTTGCGAATCATACTCCCTACAAAAATCATTCAGGCGTTTAAAGTGCTTGAAATACTAAAACATTACTGAAGCCCTTGTAATTTCAAAAAGACTCAAGTTCCCGTAGGATGACCGAACAGATACAAATTCTATAGCCCTGCTCACAATGCATTTCTAAAGGTCTAAAAGTACTCAGGATAACCTATAAAGTATTTTCAATGCATTTTGAAGGAAACCGTCGTTGGGTTCCCCTGACTATACTTATAACAAGAAATGTTGTGTTCCCGAAATCCCGCCAAACAGGCTACACTGTACTTACACGAGATACTCGTTGATATCCAAGTTATACAAGTCCAGGTACTTCTCATACTGTCTGGCATAAGCTCTCAGAGGAATCAGGGACTGCTGGATTGCATGTCGCACCGTTTCTCTCAGCTTTACCACTTCCGGTTCGTTTTCACCCACAGACTCCAGAAGAGGCGTGCCACTCCAAAACAGACCTTCTATCACCATCTTTTCAAGCTGTGGAACATTCTTAGTGCAAGTGATACCTTTGTCAAACAACATGATCACCACACGTTCAAAGCTCTCCAAATCTGTACTGTACTGGACACCTGTTTTCTCCAATGTCAGGTCTAACATGAACAGGGCATTCTTTTTGGGCCTGTTAAAGAACGCAATTTCAGTTTTTAACGGACCCAGCTTCAAGTCCAGTCAATAAAATATTAGACAGATTAAGATTCACGTTTACGCCAAATGGCAGACGTGAATTTGTGCCACGTGACCAAGTCTTCCCCCTTATTTTCCGTTTACTCTTTATTGCTTCTACACAAAAATAAGTAGTTTTAACCATAAGAATCGTTCGGGACTGTTTTTGTCTGCTTATTTTCTATTCTGAGAAATCCTCAACTTGAATCTGACGTTTGCCGTTTGCGGCAAAGGTGAATCTTAATCTCTCTAATGGCTAAATCAAACGATTCTTTTAACGTCCACAGTGCATGTCGTGCCAAAAAACGGTCCAGAACGATTTACATAAATTTGAATTTAAATACTTTTAAATTGTCCTCTCCAATTATTGGGCTTTTTAGGGATAATGAAACCAATAATTCAAATAGATAAACACAACATGGTTAAGAATCCCAACTCACCAACTGGTAGAAAGCGAACCAGTTGACTATTTTATAAGCGTCGCCAAGGATTTGAACTCGGGATCACCGAGAACGTATCCAGATAGCAGTCAGGGTTCTGGTTAATCCACCTGCATTTTGAAGTAAAGGTTTCCTAATCAAGAATCCAATGAGGCGAGGGAAGCTAATGGAAACGTTGTAACGAGACCTTGTAGATGAAGGATTGAGGATTTTGGCGCGACAAAAATGTGGTTCTCTTTCCTGGAATTACGTAAGATCTATGACTGTGTTGATATTTAAAGTCTTTACCTGTAGCTGCTGTTGATGATGTCTTCTCCCCAATCAAAGTCCTCTCCTAAGTCTATGACACTGTAAGTGGCGTCTTGGATCATTTGAGTGAATGCTGCTAAGGAATCTTGCACCAAGTAACGAAGTGAATCCTAAAACAGACAGAAGAAATAAAAATAGGAGGAGGAAGAGGAAGGAAAACAATAAAATTGAGGAGGAGGAAATGTAGATGGAGGGAGGTCGATGTAGGGTCGATGTCGGGTCGATGTAGGGTAGATGTGGGGTCGATATAGGGTCAAGGTAGGGTCGATGTAGGGTCGATGTGAGGTCGATATAGGGTCAATGTACATAGGGTCGATGTAGGGTCGATGTGGTGGAGGGAAAATAGAACTAAAACTAAAGTAAAAAGAAAGAAATAAACTGTGGAGGAGTGTAAGTAAAACATTGTTTTCCGTTCTAAAAAGAGCTAGTTGCCTTCGCCCTCATTAACATGCACGATTTGCGCGCCAAGAATCAGTGAACCAGAACTAGGACAATGACAGCGGCAGAAAATAGAACTTGCATAATCAGGTTACGGCTTAGTGATTTTAGCCACAGACGAGTTTGACTTTATTCCTTAGACACCATGAATTAACCAATGAAAACTTTTCATATTTTCTAATCAACCAATCGAAAACCAAGACATTTACAGACCTAAAAACAAGTACAAATCTGTCAAACCGGTTAAACCAACTAAAAATAGCACATGACCTTATCTTAATGAGATTCCTGCGCATTTTATTCAAGAGATAAAGACAAAAGTTATGATCTCCTCGGCGTTAATGTATTCCTCTGCAAGTTAATGAGATTCCCCAGCAAAACTCCAGAGTAAAACATCCCTCCTATACTACTCAATGTCAAGTTACACACAATCCAGTTACCGCGGAGTAACGTCCATTAACAATTAACTTCCAGTAGATTAACCAAAGAAAGAAGCAAGTTTTACTCTTTCTAGCATATGCACTTAACTTCAGACGTTCAATTCCTCTGACTTATTTACCATATTTATACCAGACGTACTATTGTGTAAATTGTAAAAATGGCATTCATGAGATTAGAAGCTTTCAGTGGCTTGTGGTTTTTAGGGGTCTTGTCATAGTCCTAGCAAATCGTCTTCTTTATTTATTTACTCACTTACATGTAGGTTCATCAAAGTTGGCAGGATCACCACAACAGCGTATGATACCAATTACTGTGGGGCCTGTAATGCACCTATCAATGTAAACCCCGTGAGGGGGGAGTGCGGGCAAGGGGTGGGGATTTGACAAATTTTGAAATTTTTTGATCAAATTCCCCAGGGTGGGAAACGAAAGGTTGATCAAAAGTGTCAAAA